GATGAGGAGTCAATCTCTAAGGGTAAGGAAGGGGTTGAATATGAACATTGCAAAGAAAAGACTAATTCCCCACCAGCACTTCCATTTTCTCATGTCATGACCAATCAGGAAGAAATCGAGGATGAAAAAGGCACCAAAAATGTTGATGCGGATCTTTTATCAAAAGTGACAGCAGATTCGACACCTGACATTACACCAATCAATGATTACTTTCCTGATAAATCTCTACTTTCTCTTAGTTTAATGCCTTGGTTTGCTAAAAATATCAATTTTCTTGCTTCAGGATTTTTGCCAACTCACTGAAGTACTGAAGACAAAAGAAAATTTTTGAGCAACGTGCAAAATTTTTAGTGGGAGGACCCTTACTTATGTAATTATTGTCCTAATCAAATATTTCAAAAATGCATTCCCGATAATGAGATAAGTAATTTCATTAAATTTTGTGATTCTAAAGCACGTAGGGATCATTTCTCGTCAAAAAAGAGGACTGTAGAAATCTTATAAAGCGGATTTTACTGGCCCAACATATTCAAGGAATCACATGCATCCCGCAAAACCTGTGAAAATTGTCAAAAGGTGGGATTTATTTCAAAACATAGAGAGTTTTTAGATAATCTTCTATTGACTCTTAAGTCTCATCATAGTCAAGATAAGCATCGTGCAATTCATGACTTATGAACCCATTTTTATAAAGAACATGTTTGGCATAGTCTTGGGAATCTAACTAAAAAAAAAAGACCATGTTCGCCAGTTTTTAAGAAAACTGGATGGGAAGCCTATCCTCGACCCATAGAGGGCGTTTAAATCGTTCTTGGACGTAAAACCAAGGGAAGATGTGAGCCACAATCACAACTACCTGTACATACACATGCTTTTTCAAAAATAAATAAATAAATAAATAAAAAGAGAGAGAGATAGAGTGTGTGAGACTCTAGCTGGCTTACATATAGGTGGTATGATTGCCTTTTTAATTTCTCATCTATAAAATCCTCTCTTCCTTCCTTTCATTTCTACTCAACCTATATATTCAACAAATACAGAAGTGTGTAGAAATGGCAAATTCCTCAGGTCATCATATAAGAAATATTTGTGTTTTCGGCGGATCTAGTCTTGGGAAACAAAAGGAGTTTTTAGAATCAGCAAATCATCTTGGTCAGGTGCTAGCTGAGAGAAAGATTCATTTAGTATATGGGGGAGGTAGTCTTGGGTTAATGGGAGGTGTGTCAATAGCTGCATTTTTAGGAGGTAGTCATGTTTTGGGGGTGGTCCCCGAAGCTTTGGCACAAAGGGACATCATTGGAAAAACAATTGGAGAGGAACTACAGGTCTCCACAATGTCTGCTCGAATGAATGCAATGTTTAACCATGCTGATGCCTTCATTGCCTTACGAGGTGGTCTAGGCACATTGGAAGAAATCCTTCATATTTCCTCTTGGGCCCAACTACACATTCACCATAAACCCATATGTTTGTTAAATGTTAATGATTATTATGATAAGTTGTTGTCTTTTCTTGATCATGCTCTGGAACAGGAATTTCTAACATCTTCTGCATGAGAAATCATAATCTCTGTTGCTACTGCTGAACAATTGATTGACCAACTACAATCTTTCATTCCTGTAATTGATCCTTCCATGAGTCGCATAAATTGATCAACTAAGGAAAGCCCTAAAAAGCTTACATTGGATTTGAGCCTTCATTTGTGAATTTTTGTGTCTTTTGGTTTTATTATTGCGTTTTGTTGTTTCTTATATTTGTTTCAGTGTGTTTCAGGTTTGTCAGTGTTCGTTATTTCAAGTGATATCTTCTATACTCTATCTTTGTACCTTAGAACATTGAGGACAATGTCTCGTTTTAGTTGGGGGGAGAGGGTAGTAGCTAAAAAAAAAAAAAAAAATTGTTTTTCATTTAAAAAAAAAAAACTAATTGTGTTTTCTATTTCATAAAGCATGTGCAAAATTGTTGTTACTATGATGGCAGAGTAAGGAGAACTTTTTATGACTCTTGAGATGCATCTTAGTAATCATTCATAACAAGGTCTATCATAATACTTCTTGAAATATTCAGATTTACAAATTCCCGTATTGTTATCACTTAATTCTGCTCATATACTTATTTAACATATATTCTCAAACCTTAATTTACACATCCATGTATTTTTAAACCTTAATTTACACACACACACTTTAACATATGATTGTGGGTTGCATATTGGATTATTACATTATTTATGTTCTTTTGTTAAAGGTAACAACTAAGGGAAAAGGGATAGTATATAATTAAAAAAAGAAAAAGAAAAAAAAGAAAAAAATGATAATAATAAAAATGTTGATAAGTTTGGTTTCGTAGCCTCCCTAACTTAAGCAATTAAGCCCAAAGGGGTGTTTTAACACCTAATACCCTACAGTCAACTGACTTGGGAGCTATTGGCCCAACGCTTGTTACATGGGTTAAGGAGAAAAGCTTAAGGGAATCAAACATTACACTATCGACATATCAGTATCTGTGACCCGAGTTACTAAGCTTGTAGGGGTGTCTTAACACCTAATGCCCTAAGACCAACAGGTCTGGGAGTCATTAGCCGAAAGCTCGTTACATGGGTTAAAGATGCATGGTGTTTTAAATTATATGTATATATATTAAAAAAAAAGAAAAAAAAAGACAAAAATAGTAATCCCAACTCAAGAAAGTTAACCTTAAACATTAGAACAAAAATTTTGTTTTCTTCCAAGAAAAGCCCCATAATTATGTGTTAATACATTGAACATAAAAGAAAGGTTTATGAATATCTTGTTAATTGACATGACTAAAAGATTGTTGTTTAATGAGAGTTTGTTTATCTGGATAGACTTCTCCCAAGTGTAGGAGTGTCGAAGTAATAAATAACCCGGCAAGACCGGGGTCGAACCACAAAGAGGTTAATTGTACAAGTTATAAACGACAATAGTAACAACAACAACAATAACAATACTAATAGTAATAACAATAATAACAATAATTACAATAATAACAATAGTAGTAGTAGTAGTAATATTAGTAGTAGCAATAATAATAATAATAATAATAAAAGAAGAAGAAGAAAAAGAAGAAGTTGATGAGAACTTTGAGATGGAAAGATTAACGTAAGCATTAAACAATGATAATAACAAATGTCAAGGTTAGAGGTTCTACTAATAGTATGTCAAACAAGTATAGTATAAAATCTTATTATTCAATTGGAAACCACACACAAAAGAGGTTCCAATCAGATAATAGATTGTTAACATGATTACATTAGTCATCTTATTCCATTAATGCTAGTACTTGTAAATCTCGTCAAGCATTCATGATTATAACTTATGTTAACAACAAATCATTTGTTGTACCAAGTGTTATACAACATAAATCAAGATTAGTCATTTAACACGCAAAGTATTAAAGAGTGAACAAGATAACAAATACAAGACATGTTAGTATCAAACATTAAAGTCCATATAAAGTTTACACTATACTTATTCTTACACCATTAGTGTACCCTTTTCACCTGGACATAATAAACTTAGCTAGACATAATGAAAGAAAGAAAAATAAATAAACAAAATAAGAACATAAATAAGATAAGAGTTAACAAAGCAAAGGAAAGGAATTGAAAGACATAAACTTGATATTAAGGAAAGCAATGCATAAACATTACAAAAAATACAAAGAGAGAAAGCAAGAGCATGATCTTGATCTAGACACCAAGATGCCTAAATGCATGGCAAATGCCTCCTTTTATAGGCCAAAATTGGGAACTATTGATTTGATGACTAATTGATGAGTGGGTGACCAACTCTTGACTTGGTGACAATCCTTATCTTCTCTTGTCTGCCCAAAACATCATTGATAACGTCAAAATTAGAGCCACTTAAAAACATGAAAGTTGTATAAAATTGTCTTAAGTTTCTTGTGTAAAACATTCAGCACATTTTGACTTCTAGAACTCCAAATATGGCTAAAATACTGAACAGTGCTTGGGGCTAGAGGACAGATGCAGGCTTCTTTGTTGTTGCAACAATTTGGACTTGAAAATGGCCTTTTTAGATCTTGGGCTCCATATAAAAGTTGTAGACCTATGTCTTACCTTTCCATCCATATAAAGTAGACCTAAATATGAGATCTATAGCTCCAGATATGACTCAATTACCGAACAGTGTTCCGGTTTTGATTGCACCGACATCTCTTTTCTAAGTTTAGCCATCTCTTTATCTTTTCAATTTCAGTTCTTATATTCATCAATCAATCCTTTCATTTATGTGATAGGCCTGCATTTAAAATGAACATTTACCACAAATTAAAGGTATCTTATATTATTAGATATATTATTATAAAACATGCTTTAGTTAAGGAGTTATTAATACTTCAAGTGCAAAATGATGATATAAAACCTTGATAAAAATACACTTTTAAGTATCAATCAATAGGTCTCCTGAAAATTCCGTCAATAAAAAAATCATCAAATGCAATTCAAGATGCAACTCAAGAAAATAATAACTTACAAAATAAAATGAATAAACGAACATACCATGAAGTGCTGAGCACGGTTGTCCATGAACTGTTACACCCTCTTTTGGCAGTCTTGACTCCGTACATGCATCTCTACAAATAGCTCTATTAGACTCGGCTCACGTCCAAGAGATGCATCCTATAAGGAAAATATAGGTTGAAAGTTAAATATATTATTTGGAATGATAAATTAATTAACGATATATTTCATTAAAATTAATCTTACCATCCGCTTTGCATGTGCGCTGAATGGGACGAATCCGTCATTGTGCATGATCACCGAATCATGAATTTCCCAGTTCTGGTTGTTAGTGCTGGACTGTGAGCGCCGTGAGAACTGCTCTGAGGTCACGTGCTCAATATATGTCATCCATATTTCCCCTGAGATGAATGGCGGTTTGAATTCCTGTCAAACCGCCACCTCATTTCATCCTTCAAGATTGTTATCCCTCGTATGTCTTTTTGATTTTTTTTTGGGTGTCATACCAAAACTCACACAACCTACTTCCATAGTAACAAATTAGAATTTAAAACATAAAATTATAAAACAAAAAGAAATATTATTTTTGAAATTACCTAGTTGCCGCGTGATTCTCCCATACCCTCCTCACAACATTGTTGTCCGCCCCATCCCACTCAAATTTGTTCTGTGTATATAAATAATTCATATAAAATAAAAATAGTACAAGATATAAAATTATAAAAATCATTTATTAAAAATAAGCTGAAAATTAAAAATTAATACCGACCTGAAATCTCTTAAACCATGCATCGATATCAGGTTTCCACGCAAGATGTCTGGAAACCTAGCCCTATTGAAACAATAGAATCTCCATCGACGATTTAAATGTCAATGTTATAGTCCTTACAGCCTCAATGTTTGTGAACCTGAAATTAAATAATAGTAATATTAATTAGTTGTTCATAAATTATGTTATAAATGTATATATATAAAAAAACTAAAACCTAAATAAATCCTTTGAATCCGTCGGTGATTCCATCAGTGAAAGTGTTACGTCACTGTACGACTATCTCAATTTGAATCCCTTGGTCATTTCATTGGTAAAATCATTTGACGTCACCAAACCATTGCATATTTCTAGATAAACTGTATACCCGTTCGGCAAAACAATTGGTATATACCGACGAACTATTTCTGTCAGTATATACCGACTGTTTCGCTAATGGATCTATGTCGTCGGTATATACCGACAAATTTTGAGATGGAATTATGTCTGTCAGGAATTATTACCGACAAAAAAAGTCTGTCAGGAATTCCGTTGATTTTCTCCGATTTTTTGGTAGTGATGAAACGGGTCCTTAATGAATGATTTTGATGTTCACATTGTTGAAACAAAAGTTTTCTACAAATTAAATTTCACTATGTGTAAATTTTATTTTATTTTTACATAAAAATAAAATAAATAAGCTTTTGTATATTTAATAGTCAATCAAAGATTAAAATTCAAGATGAGATATTTAAGATATTTTATTGTAAATATAAGATCTTATGAATAAAAATCAACCAATAAAATAGTGTTAGTGATATTAAAAAATGATCAAAAAGCCCTTATAAACTTCTACAGATAAAGAGTCTCATCTTAAACCAAAAAACAAAATAGATAAAAGAGAATTCTGGAAGATACAAAACTTTTGTCAAGACAACTTGATTAGTACTTAAAAGTGCATTTTTATCATGGTTTTATATCATCATTTTGCACTTGAAGTATCAATAACTCCTTAACCAAAACATGTTTTATAATAATATATCTAATAACATAAGATACCTTTAATTTATGGTAAATGTTCATTTTAAATGCAGGCCTATCACATAAATGAAAGGATTGATTGATGACTTGAAGAACTTAAATTGCAAGGATAAAGAGATGGCCAAACTTAGAAAAGAGATGTCGGTGCAATCCAAACCGGAACACTGTTCGGTAATTGGGTCATATCTGGAGCTACAGATCTCAGATTTAGGTCCAATTTATATGGATGGAAAGGTAAGACATAGGCCTACAACTTTCATATGGAGCCCAAGATCTAAAAAGGCCATTATCAAGTCCAAATTGTAGCAACAACAAAGAAGCCCGAATCTGTCTTCCAGCCCGAGCACTGTTCGGTATTTTGGCCATATCTGGAGTTCTAGAAGTCCAAATGAGCTGAAGTTTTTACACAAGAAAGCTGAGACAATTGCCTACAACTTTCATGTTTACAACTGGCTCCAATTTTGACGTTATCAATGACGTTTTGGGCAGACAAGAGAAGATAAGGATTGTCACCAAGTCAAAAGTTGGTCACCCACTTATCAATTAGTCATCAAATCAATAGTTCCCATTTTTGGCCTATAAAAGGAGGCATTTGCCATGCATTTAGGCATCTTGATTTCCAGATCAAGATCATGCTCTTCCTTTCTCTCTTTGTATTTTTTATGCTTTGTTTTCATTAATATTAAGTTTATGCCTTTCATTTCCTTTCCTTTACTTAGTTAACTTTTATGTTCTTATTTTGTTTATCTATTTTGCTTTCTTTCATTATGTCTAGCTAAGTTAATTATGTCAAGGTGAAAAGGTTACACTAATGGTGTAAGAATAAGTATAATGTAAACTTAATATGGACTTTAATGTTTGATACTAACATGTTTTATATTTGCTATCTTGTTCACTCTTTAATACTTTGCTTGTTAAATGACTAATCTTGATTTATGTTACATAACACTTGGTACAACAAATGTTTGGCACTTTCATAGCCCATAATGTATGGTATAACCGACACCTGAGCTATGAAAGGAACTTGATTTGTTGTTAACATAAGTTATAATCATGAATGCTTGACGAGATTTACAAGTATTAGCATTAATTGAATAAGATGACTAATGTAATCATGTTAACAATATATAATCTGATTGGAACCTCCTTTGTGTGTGGTTTCCAATTCAATAATAAGAGTTTATACTATACTTGTTTGATATACCATTAGTGGAACCTCTAACTCCAAGTAAGAAGGCTTTTTCAAAAGCTTTTCAAGCAATGAAACTCTTTAAGAAACTCTTAAGCCTCCTTTATATATATTTGAAGTCTATAAAAAACAAGACTCTATTGAATAGAGCCTAAACACTACATCAGAGTTTTTTAACAACACTAAAGACAAATAAAAAATATTCTTTAAAGAATCAAATCATTAAATCTATTTTTGCAATATACACAAAAATTTGCATTCTTGCAAAACACAAATATTGACTTAATTTTACAAATAAATAAAGTTATCATATACCAAATTCAAGGAAAGAATCAAAGGATTATATATTATTTTGTTCAAATATTCTAAATAGAGATTGCATCCAGTTAGATATCTTAATAAATCAAATATTTATACACATGTACTTTTCTAATTTTAGATGTTAAAAATCATGTCTATAATTTTTGGTAACTCCAGTAGAGATATCTCTCTCCCTTCTCTGTAAGAAAGAATTTTCAAAAAGCTCTCAATGATAACTAAAAAAAACATAATCACCGTTATTGTTTCTAAAAGTAACAAAACTTTTGTAACATCCCTATTATTTTATCTAGCAATTGCTCAGTTAAATATGAAATTTCAGGGTAATTTTTTTCTAACATTCCCAATCATATGAACAAGTATTACAGAATGCAATTACTTAATTTAGCATATTTTTTTTTAAGTATGGCATTCAAATTAATTTCATATAATAATTTTGTTTTATAACCAACAGGATTCATTCTACATCATTTACATAATTCATTCAAGCCATAATAAATATTAATCAACATAAAGATACAAAAAGTGTTTAATAGTCAAGCAAGAATTACTCCATTATAGTGAGGATCCTAAAAATAAAATTGACATTCTACCGACATAATCATCAAGAAATACAATGTATCATTTCACTATACCTATATGAAAATATTTTTCTATATATTTTATGATAAATCATTAATATTTTACACATCCATTTTCATTCTATTATTTTTATTTCTATCCATTTCACTCAGGCACTACTCTCTCATTAAGGATGCTAAACCATTAGCCTAATTATCAGGCACTCATTGGGCATTAATTTATCCGTTTAATTACTAGGTATTAGTTCATTTATTGAAATTAGGATAAAAAATGTAGAATTATTAATTAAAATTTACACATGCTTTTAATTAATATCTCTCTATAAAGATTCAAGGTATTGCACACCTACCTGCTAGTGGTTTTCAACTAATAACTCTTTGCTGCTGTCTAGAGCCTTCAACCTCTCATATTCCTTAAACAAATCTCAAAATCTTTTTTAGAAAAATAATATAAATTATATTTTAGGACCTCACTTAATATGTTATGCTTTTACATTGAATTGGTTTTTTGACATGGTGTCAGATTCTTTATAATTAAGTGGTCATGAGTTCAAATCTCTTTATCCCTATTTATTTGATAAAAAAATTAAACACAAAATAGTATGAGTCTGTGCAAATTTCAAGTCCAAAAAACTTTCACTAGAATGTGTTAGAAAATAATATAAATCATATCTTATAGCCTCACTTAACAACTCAAATTTTTAGGTTGAATTGATTATTTAAGAATCACAATACCTCCTTATTCAATGATTTACTTAAAAGTCATCATATAGTACAATTTTCCATCAAAAATTGTTTTTAACATCTGTCAAAATTAGTTTATTTAATTTTTTTAAACATGCCTATCAAATAGAAAGATATCCATTGATCAATTTATTCATTCCTTATACCTAACATAGTTTCATGTTCTTTAATAATCAATTTACATGACCTTACATTCCTATATTATATCAACAAATAAAATTCTTAGTTTTATTTAGCTCAATTTCATTCTTTTCCTTGCACAATTCAAAACACAATCCATATTCCACTCATGGAATTTATTCATTCACTTTTTTTTTTTATTCTCTTAATAATTATATATTTTTCAATAATCAATTAATCAATTAGCATAGCTAAACAATTTGCTTGTCATTAATTCAACAACTCAATCACCCTAAAAATCCCACCCTTATCTAAAATACGCATTACTAAGAGGAATAAAATTTATTTTTTACTAATTAACTTAATTAATGAGTAGCCCAAACATTTATCCCCTCAACAAAAACATAATCAATATAAATCTATATATTCAAATCACCACAATATCAAGAACCCACCTTTACATAATACTAAATCTACTCTATCCAAAAACAAACATATAAAGCTATATAATGAAACATTATAGAAAAATTTCTCAGCCTTAAAGAATGAAGAATCAAAAGTCAAAATAAGTTGAATCTATTCTCCTTCGTATTTTCCTCCTCTAAGCTCAATTTTCATTCTCTAAAAGTACACTATAACTCTTAAACTACTTGTGGAATCCATAACACCTAAAATTGTCTCTTTAATTACTCAAAATTCTCCTATTACACTTTTTCTTATTTGTGATTTTTCAAGCAATTTTTCCCTATTTTCTCTATTTTCTTCTCTTGGTCATCTACAAACTCTTCTTCGTCTTCTTTTTATTCCTGGTAGCTTATAAAAAAGGTTGTCTTGGACCAATTTTTAATTTGATCCTTGAAAAAAATTTTAGACACTTATTTGTGCTATTTTATTATCTGTTTACTATACTTAACTTGAAAAATTCTTATCAAACTCAAAAAATTCTAAAACTTTAACTTAAATTTTAAAAAATATATATTTTAGAAGACTCCATATAAAATTTCATCTTAATCTAATAGCTAGATTGAAAGTTACGTGCTATAGCGTAACAATAACTAATTTGTGATATTTTATCAAAAATTCAATTTTTCCTATTTCATTCTTGCATAAATGATATCAATTATTTACTCAAATCTCGATACTATTTTCTTATCTCAAATATATTTATTCTATATTTTTACTATTTATTTCCTTTATAGACTTATTATCGTTTCCCAATAATGTTTCTAATTTTTAACCGGTGCTTACAGTACAATTCTTTCTTAAATTTTCTTTTCATTATAACTTATTGCAACTATTTTCTCATCCTCGATACATATTTATTTCAAATTTTCCATAAAAATTAATTTAATTAATCATTCATTTTGAATGCAAATGGGGCACGAGATCTCGTTACTTCAAGGCCAAAACTACAACTCCACCATAACAATCAAGTGGAGCGTGTGGACTTTTTCTTTGACACTTACAAAGACTGCATTGGCAATTCACCTGTGGAGACTTCTACATGTCAATCACCGAATAAGGTTTCAGATTTTGGAACCAAGTTAGTGATGATGATCGGGGCTACATCTTTGGATCAAGTGGCTAATTTGATAAAACTCATTAACAGGCTTTCAACTTCACTCTAGGAAAAGGACCATGAGATAACAAAGTTGATGAACAAACTCGATAGCAGTAACGAGAGAGGCCAAAGTTCAGCTATCAAGGTTATACAAGTAGATTAACTAAATGTTCCTGAGGATTCTATAATCAGGGCTACAAGGAATATCCACGATATTATAGATGACATCTTTAATACGAATCAACTGAAAAAACTTATCAAAAAATCCATCATGGACCAAATAGAAAGTACAATTCAACCTTCGTATTCTTATACGAAGCCATACACCTAAAAAATTGACCCGCTAAGAATGCCTCTAAACTATTAATCACTAAAATTTCAACAATTCGATGACAAAAGGAATCCAAGGCAACATGTGGCTCACTTTGTGGAGACTTACAATAATGCCAAAATTGATGGTGATTTCATGGTAAAATAAGTGTCAAAAAATCATTAATGAAGCTCTCTTAGAAGCTCTCATATGTCCTTTATCTACATTTGAAATCACCAAAGAACAAAGTTTTGTTGAATTAAGTTTAAATGTCTTATAAGAGTTATTCAATAAAACTTTATAGATAAATTAAAAATATTTTTTAAAGTATCAAATAACTAAATCTTGCTTTGCAATACATGTCTAAATTCATGTTTTTACAAAGCATAAATTAATATTAATTTAATTTTATAAATAAATGAAGTCACCATATACCAAATTCAAGAGAAGAATAAGAGGATTATTTATTTTTTTTATAAAAATATTCTAAATAGAGATTACATGCTGTTATATATCTTAATAAATTAAATATTTTGTACATATGTATTTATTTAATTTTAGGTGATAAAAATTATGCCTACACACATTTGTTTCTCGCCTTAAAGAGCCAAAATGATCGAGCAACAATTTGAGGTTTACGTTTTGTTAATATTTTTTTTCTACGACTATATATCATATCCAATTATAATTTACACGCAATAAAAAGTAACAGTGTGTATATATTGAAGGAAAGTAAAGGAAAGAAAAGTAATGGGAAGGAAATTAAGTCGTTTTTCTTTATTTGGATGCTGAAATTAGGAATAGAAAGGAAATGAGGGAAAATAAATCTTTAACTTTCTTCTTTAATACGCATGTTTTATGTCCAAACTGGGAGGAAAGCTATAGGAAATAAATAAATAAAAATGACAGAAGTTTGCTCGTAATTAATATCCATCACTAATTATGTAACAATATTATGCCATATATTTCATTTATTATTTGGTAACTTTTCATATTGATATAGGATTTATATTCGTGAATAAGTTAACTTGGAAGATATTATAAAAATGTAAAAACTCGAGGAAATAACAAAATCTATGATTAAAATGATTTTTTTTTGTTATACCAATTTGGTCTAGTTTTATTTCAGAAATGATTTTTGTTATTTTTATTTTGAATTTGGTTTTTATTTTATTTTATTTTAATACTTATTAAAGTTTTTTTCAATTTCATCCTTCTTTGCATTTAATTAATTTATTTTGTTAAAATGATTGAACCATTCGGTGTTTTTAAAGAACTTTTATTGAATTGACCATGTTTCTTTACAATTTTCCCAGTAATTCAATAACTAACTTCCATCAAGTCTCAATATTAACGATGCATACAAATGTAGAGTTATTAAAAAAAACAAATCTTCCATAAAATTCTTATATATATATATATATATATGTTCATGTAGGATCTATACCACCAAATAAATTGTCTTACAAAATAAATTAACAATATATAAATCGTGCTAGTTGAGTCTTTTATATATTAAAATCAAGGGTAGTTAGCAAATTAAGAGCGTAAAAATAATGAATAATAAGAAATCATTTGATGGACCTTGCTGACCGACCATTAATTTATTACAAATCATTAAGCTTTTTCAAATTATTTAAATATTTAAAATATGAATATTTTTAAATTTATACATAGGCACGTAGATACAAAAAACTCAAATTTTTTTTTTTTTTTCACTTTGAGGTCGCAATCCATCATTTCTTTAATCACCACAAGGCACCTTCAACTCCACATACCATGAGACACCTGCATATCCACATAACACGAGGCATACGCAACACTATTTTCCATGCTTTACAAGGTAACCTGATATGATTAATGTCTATAAATATTTATGATCACCAAGTAAAACATTCGAGGCATTGAGATTCAACAATTCAAGAATCACTTGTTTGCTCACATTGCGTGTTGCCCTTGCTCCCCTCTCTCTGCACTTTTTCTCACATTATTTATAAGTTTTCTTGTATATTATTTTCTCATCTTATATCTATTAACTTAAATATTGGAGGGTCCTGTATTCATGGCTCCATCAACAACAACAATCTGAGGCCATTTATTTATTTTCGTTTATTTCATAGTAATAGACATGGACATAACTTCTCTGTAATGCATTTAAATAAATTTAAGCTATTACGATCGATATGATCTCGGGAATTCTCATATCGTTTTTCTGTGCTATTGCAGCTAAATCTGTGCACGTTCCCTGGCTTGTCGTAGGTTGTCTGTGTAGTTTATTTGGCTGTATGTCTTGGCGCATTATGACGAGCGTGCCTTTCAGCATTTTTTTCCACTCTCAAATGTTTGATGGGATGTGCCTTTGAGGCTCTACTTGGCATTCTGGTATCGTGTATCACTTCTGCTTCCATTGGTTTATAACCATGCAGTTTCATGTTTTCTTGAGGCTCCAGCATGTGTAATTTTTATGATTCTTTCCTTGAAGCCTTGATGCAATATAACGTATGGTTTATGTAGCATGGTACAAAACCCCTATGCTGCTGATGTCAGTTTGTTGTCTTGCAGTACTGCTGCCACTAATATTTTCTGCAGGTAATATCTATTCAACGTCTTTTGATATATTCTTCCTCAAAATCGATGGCGGAGTCCCTCAAACCAGGCAGAAAGGGAAGAAGATGATAAACAAAAAAAAATTAAATTAGAATCTCATTTATCTAATCTCTTACGTTATAAATTAGAATCTCATTTATCTAATCTCTTCTGTTTAATTTTATTTGGAACTTCAGCTGATCAGGCTCTCTCGCATTCACTCCACTGCTAGAAGTTCAACTGAGCAGAATTGGCGCGTCATTTTCTTCCGTTTTTTGCCAAGCTATAGATTAGACCTTAGAGGTAGCAATAATTATATCAATTCGTGCATTTGACCAACAGTATACCAATGAGATTAATTTTTTGTCTTTTCGGCACAAATATTTATATATGATTATTCTTTGTTTTCCCTCGTATATTATACATTCTAAGAGTTAACAACAATAAAAGAAAACGAAGAAAATAGTGTTCTGAACTGTAGTAGTCTCCAATTTCTTGAAACTGAAACACATCATCAAACGATTAAACTTGGAAGTTACACGTAAAACTCACTTTGTGCAACTTTTTCAACCCAAAAACAAATAGAAAAGATGAAGGGGAAAAAAAAAAAGAAATCTAGAGATCATTTTACATGCAAAGACCAAAGTCATATTCGGTACAAAAAAGAAGGCATGCTAAGCTTGATTTGGCATGGAAACAAAGACTCCATGATGACCATAAGGCACTCTCTGGGGCAGAGTTAATATGGCAATTGGATCACTTTCAAACTTCTTTGCATCTATTATATAAACCTACAAGGAAAAAAGGCATTAAAGAGAATTTGAGAACTTGTGTCAAGAAATGTAAACCCAACTTAAACCACTGGTGTTGGAGAAAAGTCGTCGACTTACTTGAGACACATTACGTTCTTCATTGTGTACAAAAGTAATAATCAAACCATCATCTTCTTCAACGCCTCCCTGTTTAGGCACAAAGGTGCTTCCTGTGCAGAATGTGTTCTCTGGAAACTTATGATACTCTGCCTTTACCGGTTGTTCATTGCTTCCCTCCTGCCATGTAAATTCAAGCAGCAACCATGTATGCATTTCCATGCTTGGAAATCCAAATTGAATAGCATAGAGTGATGGAAACAAAAGGGATATGCATAAATGAATTTACCTTTGAGTAGGCTGACATTTCTTCATTAAAGTGTAATTTGGCTACGGATCCATATTTACAGATTCCTGACGCATGGAAAAAATTCAATCTCAATTTTGTAAAATGTAAAAGAAATGTAAGCATCGAGGATGGATTTTTTGTTACCAGAAATAGAGCTTGCCAAGGAATCGATGACTTGTGTGTACCCATACTTGTGTTTTAAACCAGTGACATCTTCATTGATGAAAGGAAAATCCATGGAGCAGTCAGCACCTGTTAGATATTTCTCCTTAACCTCCCCAGTTGCCACGTTTAGTCTCCATTCATGTACGCGGTGCAAGAGATACCCACTTTCTGTTAAACCATCAGCATCATCTGACTTAAATCCTTTCGAGAACCACTCAAACTTGTCCTGACCCCAATCTGGACCCGGTATGATGGCTGTAACAGCCTTACATCCCCGCACAACAACCTGACCATGATCGGTGAAAGATTTAATTCAGGAATGAACATTCAGCAATAAATTTATTAACAATCAGAAGTAACTAAACCAATTAATATCAACCAAAAACTAGAGACTGTAAGAGCTTTCTGCTGATCAACATTAACAGGACTTCAAAAATTGAAGGCAAGATTCTTTCTTTGTTATACTTGTTACCAATTACTTAATTTTCTCACCTCATTACTGTCCTCAAAACAATTAACAATATGAAATGTGCAGTTTGGTTCTACTTCAAACCACTTGACTGACTCTGCACTCCCGTAACGAGGCATCACTCCAATCCTGGCAGTCGCTTTCTCCTCATACTTCATCAATCTGCATGTGAACATGGATACCTCTTTCTATAAGCAAGTGATTGTGTAATTGGCATTGCTTTAAAGAAATCCAATCGAGCAATCTTTACTTACTGTCCACCCTTGATGACTCTTGTTATGTCAACTATCAGAGGATGATCAATGATCACGTTGTAGCTGATACACAAAAAATAATGAACAATAATGAAACGGTTCTAATATATTTGTTTCGGATTGACCGTATTAAATTTTAGGTTAGTCTTGGATTCACAAATTCCAGCAGCAGGAATTCTAATATAGACCATATTTCATGAAATAAAGGCATAAAAAAGATGGAAATCAATCACTAAATAATAATTAAGTATTAAACATCAACAATTATTAATCAATAATCACGATTTAATTAAAATAGATTTTAATTTAAAACTAAAATCCTAAATCATTATTTAACGATATCATATGAAGGTAAAGATACGAAGAAATGGACCAAAACTAGTTCAAATCATAAAGGGAGGTAAGGCAATGCTCTTGCAAATAAAATAAAAAACACTATCTACTAACTTAAAAATAACTCAAAAACCTAGCATACTATCATGCCTTCAAAACTAGTATTTTTTACTTCTCTAACATGCTTCCATCTTTCTAACAAGTCACATTACCATAAATAAATATATTTGAATAAAAAAAATTAACAAATAACATCAAATCATCAAAATCATACAAGAGGTTCAAAACTTCAAAACTATGAAAGCCAAACAACCTATATATTTATGCAATTTGAATTTAAATTGGTTATCTGAACCAAACAAAACCTAAAAATTAAAGACATGTATCAGCCAACACAGAAAACATCATAAACCTTACTACCACATTTGATAGATTTTAAAACCACTTAATTTCATCAAAACTTATCTAATAAACATCACCCAAATATTCAAGAACATTAACAAATAACTCAAAGCAAGATTTAAATAATAAAAACAATATTTTTATGTATTAATAAAAATCAAAACTACATAACATCATAACACTAAAGCAAGTTCAAAAGTATCATCAAACATGTAAAACAAGCTAGATGTGTGCCTTATCGACATCACCTATTAAGTTAGTAATGGATTATACCTTCCCAAAACTTAAAATAGTTAATGCCTTTCTTCCTTCAAAAATCCAATCTTTTGCTTAATTTTTAATCATGAGCAAAAGAGAAGCCTATAAAAAATGCACCCTAACTAGTGGATGATCAAAGCACACTTGAAATATCAACAAATATTGATCGACAATCACAACATATTAGAAAAGAGCATACATGGATAAATGTTTATAAGGTAACTAGAATCAAACAATCTAATGATCCACTTCCTTATTTTACTCTATTTTCATATTATGATCTTATGATTTCCAAAGATATTATTAATGAAATAAAGTGAAAAAAGGCTTTAAATGATGAAATTGATGTCATTAGAAAAAGCAATACTCGAGAATTAATGAAGTTTATAAAAGGACTGAAAACTATTGGTGAAAAATGGAAGTTTAAGATAAGGTTAAAGAAGAATCATTCATTGTTAAACTAAGTCTTTAAGAATATCAATTTAAAGGAGAGAATGTTAGATAAAATCATAGCTAATGTAAAAATTTATGATAAAAACAAAATTGTGCTATACTAGTTGATTAGAATCCTTGTTTAATTAGATAGTTAGAGGTGCATTCTCCTTATCAATAAATAAGGGTTAATGCATTTAGAATTTTAGCATGTTTATATGTGTTGAAATAAGTATATTGATAATAAGAGTGCATGTTGATAAGAGTGATTAATCAATAAAGATTGGGAGATTCATCCAAATACTTTTATGTTTTATTTTCAATATTGTTTTGTATGTGATTAATTATGTTTGTTATTTATATATTTTGTACTTTTATTTTGAGATTCTTGAGTTATCTTTGTAACATTAAATTATCTTTAAAGTCAATATAAAAGGATTTTATAAAACTATAAAAAGTGATCATACTATTGTTTTTGTGCTAATTTGGATCCATATAAGAGAAAATTGGCCTTTGGACAAGCAAAAAAAAACATGCTGATATATTGAACTTACTTTTTTGTAACCCCTATGTCATGGTTGAGGACACTTCTATTGAACTTGAGATCAACTTTATGCAATAACTTCTCTCCATCAGCTAAAATATACAATTCAAAAAAGGTACATTTGTCAATTATAGTTCATGAATAAACTATTTTGGTTCAAATTTGAAATAATAAAGAACATCATTAAAAATATAAAACCATGCGTACCAGATATAACTCCAACTACACAATAAGGTTTCATCCCATCAAAACCTAACATAACCAATTCCCCTGAACCAGGTGCTTTCTATAATGCAAAGAAATTCTAAATCATATACAATATAAAAGGTAGACACTAAATATGCATGGTTTAATATTGATTTTCTAGCAATAATAGAGGTATATTGAAAGAACCTTTGGATGGCTAGTGAACGGTCGATCCCATGCTCCATTAACATCCCAATAATCAAGACTTTCTAAGGTGGATATGTCAACCTCTTGAGGTAGGTAATTGTCACCAGTTGCATAAAGCTTCCTAGAATGATAAAAAATGTTGACATTTTGATAGTGTTTAGCAATTGTGCCAAGTCTCAACTAAAAAGGCATTATATATAAGGATTAGATCCATCTATGTAGAAAAAAAAACTAAATTTATATAATAAAAAAATCATTAATTCCCCAATTAAAGATATGTATGTCAAATATACCGCATTGATAAGGTTTGATATTAAAATAGCTAAAGAATCTCCTTCCAAGTTTGGTAGGAAAACTGGCATGTTCCTTTCTTTCTCTATCTTGAAGGATTCAGACTCAACAAATTTATTCTTATAGGAAACAATCCAATTCCCACTAGCATTCTTTCTGAAATAAAGTGCATGAAGCATCCCTTCTCCTTCTACCCAAATTTGGTTTGTTTTTCCAAAACTTGATACTGTTGATTTTAGACCACCAAATAGAGGATTTGAACCTGCTTTCCACAAAGAGAGAAACCATTACATGCCATTTATTTTTGAGTGATAAGTGTTGAAAATAAATTAGATTTCTGATTTTTATGAAAAACAAAAGAATCAAACCACCGATTAAGAACCAATCAACTAGTTAAGTCGGTAAAATTAATTTTCTTGATCATATGAGATTTTTTTTAGTTTAATTCCTTATTTTTCTAGGACTATAGGCCTATAAAAGTTGTGTAAAAGAGAAAAATACTTAATAAAACATATCTTGCTCTCAAATTTCTTCTTGTATTTTAGCTTTGTAATTTAACATTATTATCCATAATAAGCTATTACACTAATTTTCTTTCAACAAGTGATATCAAAGCTTGTTATGATTGTTTGATAATAACTATGAACGTTTGACATGGCTAATTAAAACTTATCACTTCAATGTCTTTGTTTAACAAATAATAACTATGAAAGTTTGACATGGCTAATCAAAAACTTATCACTTCAATGTCCTCGTTTAACAAATAATAACTTTGAAATTTAGTATATCCATATGAAAGCTTTGCTAGGTTCTGAAGATTTGTGAGCTTATAGAAGGAGTGACATTGACTTCAATCTAAAGGGAGGTTGTGCAAAAAGCACAAAGAAATGATCAATAAACACTTACAATCATCCACCACTATTTAGATGATACCACTTTTAAGATTGTGGCTAACACAACCACAACCAAGCAACCATTAGAAGTTTTGCAATAATCAAACCAATGAGCTAATAATATTTATAAAAAAAAATGTCTATTAAAGTTATGAGGTGACTTTAAAAAGTTACATACATTTCAATTAGAGAGTATTTTAGATTACTTTACTAGAGTATTATCCATATACAATCAGATAAAAAGATATGGGATGGAAATAGAAGAAACAAGTATGGTAGAAAAGATCATACGCTCATTACAGAAGAAATTCTATTATATTGTGGTTGCGATAAAGGAATCATAAAATATGGATTTTTGACAATTCAAGGTCTTATAGGAAAACTACATATCTATAGAGAAGAAGTGAATGAAATTCAAGAAGATATCGGTGCATAAACACTCTTCTCAAAATTCTCTATAAAAGAGAATTAAGATGACTTCAAATATAAACAAGGATGTAGAGGTCGTGGATAAGGCAGAGAAAAAAAAAGGAAAAGAGAAATTTGAAAGAAAAAGTTAAGGTACCCTTAACAGATCAACTAGTCGACTAGCAACTGGATGAAACTAATCAGTTGATTGGACCCTCGGATAGTAGTTATCCAAGACCTAGGTTCAAAAATTAAGTGTTATGATTGTTAAGAAAATAGGTCATTATGCCAATTTAGTAGTAAAAGAGGAGCAAGAAGTAACCCTATTATTAGTCCATAATGAACAAATAAAAACCAAAGAAAACATGTGGTATCTTAACAATGGAGCTAGCAATCACATGTGTGAAGACAAGGCTAAATTCATGAAGCTTGATGAATTAATTAAAGGTAATGTCACATTTGCAGATCATTCAAAGGTTTTCATCATAAAGAAAGGTACAATTCTGATTCAAATAAAATATGTTAGTCATTGATTTTTTGGTGATGTTTATTATATCCCAATTGTAAAAAAAATGCAATATATTAAATCTAGGATAATTATTGGAGAAAGGTTATGTAATTAAGATGAAAAATCATACTTTGACATTACGTGATAATTATAAAACTATAATTGAAAAGGTAATGACAAAGAACAAGTTGTTTTTGCTAAACACAAAGACAAATGTGCCTAAATGCCTAAAAATATTTGTGAAAGATGAGACTTGGCTTTGTCGTATAAGCTTCGATAGCTTGAAGATGATGGTGCAAAAGAAGATGTTGTAGGGTATACCACCCATCAAACATCCATATCAATTGTGTGAAAGATGTTTAGTGGGCAAATAATTTTGCATGAGTTTTTCAAAGGAGTCTACATCTAGAGCAAGTTAACCCTTATAAGAGATTCATGAAGATGTATATGGTCCTACTCAACCATGCTTAATTGGTAAAAAAATATATTTTTTCCTCTTCAATGATGGTTATAGTAGAAAAATATATGTATACTTTTAAAAGAAAAGTCTAATGTATTTAATTATTTTAAATAAGTTTAATGATTTTATGAAGATTAGGGTATAAAAGGACTCCTAACAATGCTTAAATCCCCATAACAAAATGGCATGGTAGAGAGAAAGAATAAATGCATCCTCAATATAGCAAAAAGTATGCCTAAAATAAAGAAGATGCCAAAAGAATTTTAGGGTGAAGTTTTGTATTATGGTGTTTACTTGTCAAATAAGTGTCCTATGAATTGCTTGGATGGCATGATACCATAAGAGGAATGGAATGGAAAAACATCAAGTGCTACTCACTTAAAGGTGTTTAGAAGCATTAAATATATGCACATAGATGATCTAATGAGGATTAAACTAAATGCCAATAGCAAAAGGCTGATCTTTATAGGCTATGATCGAAAGTCCACATAATACAATCTTTACAACCCCAATAAAGGAAAGATGGTAATTTCTAGGGATGTTGAGTTTATTGAAAAAGGAAAATAGGATTAGGAGATAGATGGTGGTGAGAAGTATGACTATCTACTAATTCTTGATAAAGAGAAAGAGAGACATGAAGATCATCAAGAACTAGTTACACCTCTATAATTACTAATGAACTCAAATTCACCTTTATCATCTTCTTCTAGTGAAAGTTCATGTAGTGACAACCCACCAAATCCACAAAGAAAGATGAAGAGCCTTGATTACTTGTATGAAGTAACTAATCTAATTGATTTAATTGATAATGATCTAACATTATGTTATCATCTTGCCATATGTGAACATATAGCATTTGACAAAGCAATAAATTAAGGATAAAAAGTAGAGAATTGCTATGGATGAAGAGATTGCATCAACTAAGAAGAATGATATATGAAAATTGAATCCTAAATAGAAAAAGAAGAAGAAGTCAATAAGTGTCAAGTAGATCTACAAAGAAAAGAAGAATGCCAAATCAAAAGTGGAGAGGTACAAGGCGAGGTTGGAAACAGAAAGCTATAGTCAAAAGTAAGGAATTAATTATGATAAAGTTTTTGCTCAAGTTGCTAGATTAAAGACCATGCAATTAATAATACCATATTTGTCCAATATATATGGAAAATCTATCACATGGATGTAAAGTCAACCTTGCTAAATAGCTTTCTTGAAGAAGAGGCATACATTGAACAACCTAGAGGTTATGAACTAAAGGGACATGAAGAAAATGTATTAAAGTTAAACAAAGCCTTAAAATGGATTTAAGCAAGCTCCAAGAACTTTGTATAGTCACATTAATAGTTATTTCTTGAATAATAAAATTATAAAATGCCCTATAAATGTATTTTTGATGTAAAGATAAAAGAGAGTGGTTATATTCTTATTATATACTTGTATGTGGATGACTTAATCTTTTATAGTCAATAACTTAAAGATATTTGGAGACTTTAAGTAAGTAATGATCAAGAAGTTTGAGATAATAGATATTGGTCTTATGACCTACTACCTAAGGACTGAGATCAAACAAGGAGAAAATAGAATCTTTATGAATTAAGAGAAGTTTGCAAAAGTGATTCTCAAGAAGTTCAAGATGGAAGATTGTGCAAAAGTGAATGCTCTAATTAAATATAGACTAAAGTTGTCAAAAAATAATGAAAGAGAGAAGATAAACCATACAACATTCAAGAGTCTAGTTGGGGGTTTAAGATATTTAACATGAACTAGTCCAAATATTCTTTTTGAAGTAAGACTTGTGAGCAGGTTCATGGAGACACCAACTATGACACATTTCAAAGCTTTGAAGTGAATTCATTGATATATCAAAGGTATTATAAATTTTGGATTATTATATGGTTACTTAACAACTTTAATCTTATGGGTTATAGTGATAATGATTGAGTTAGAGATATAGATGATAGAAAGAGCATTATAGGTTTTGTCTTGTATATAGAAGACATAATATTCACATGGAGTTCAAAGAAACAATCTATAGTCACATTATCGACTTGTAAAGCTGAATATGTACATGCTACAATATGTGTTTGTCATTCTATATAGATAAGAATATTATTGAAAAAATTATAAATGTAATAAGAGAAGCCTACAAAAATTTATGTGGATAACTCATCATTCATTACTTTAGCAAAAAAATCTTATATTTTATAATAAAAGTAAGCACATTGACACTAGATTTCATTACCTATGAGATTGCATACAAATAAAAAAGTAAAAGTTAAATATATAAAGACCTAAGACCATGTTGCATATATTTTCATAAAGCTATTTAAACATGATATTTTTATCAAGCTAAGAAATATGCTAAGAGTTATTAGAAATCAAGTGTAACAGGAGTATTGAAAATAAATTAAATTTTTTATTTTTCTAAAAGACAAAGAAATTAGTTTGCCAATTGAAAATTGCTCGAAAGATTATGTAGACAAAATTACTTTTCCTCATCAAATTATATTTTTTATTTGTTTAGAACTTTAGATTTATAAATGAACTTGTGCAAGCGTAGAAAATAAAAAAAAATGTGTATAGAAGAGAAAAACATTTAATAGAACATACATTTCTCTTAAATTTCTTCTTGTTTTTAGCTTTGCAATTTAGTATTACTATCCATAATAAGCTGCTGCACTGATTTTCTTCCAACAACAAGTTTCAAGTTTGTGGAATATTATAATCCATCACATGCCATATGCCATATATAGATTCATATTAATGGTTACATACAGTATGATACTTACCATTTCTTATGTACACACCCTCTGGGAAATCTACTGGAATCTCTCCTTCGATTGCATTAACGTTAACAGCTTCTCCAATTTCTTCAACAGGTGCCAAGTTGCTCTATAATATATATGATCAATGTTAATTTTTCTTTTTAAGAGAGAGATTATTGGTTCTTAATTGTGTACAATCCATGAACTCATCTTGAATGTCATGTACTGAACATAACTCATAGTATACTTAATTTTAGCTGGTTGCTGAAGCAACAATTACCCCAGGAGGCGAATTCAAAGACTATCAGAGTTTGCATAAACATTCATTTGAGCATAAATATTGATCAAGTTCATTAAAAATTATGTATTCTCATTGGAAAATGGACTAATAATACCTGAGAAGGGAGCAATGGTTGATCAACGAATTGGAACGCAGAATCGACAAATGCATCCAACATTTTCCTGGAAGTGTTTTTCATGCTTTGGGAAACGTCAATCTTCATTTGCAGTTGATGCAGCTCGTTGAAGAAAGGCTGGTGACATACTGAAACGAGCCATCAGACTTCATTTGCAAGATCCCTTAACATTTCAGAGTTCAAGGTCGATTGTCATACCTTATACTTTGAGGATAGTGAGGTTTTGAGTCGATCAAAGCTCTCAGAGGCAAAAGGCTTAAGAACTGATCCATTTACTTGCAATGAAACACAAGAGAATGCTGCCATCTAATTACTTACGTATGCCGACGCCAGTTGTCCTTGTATTAGCTTAGTGTAGAGGAAACTACCTCCTGCCCTATTTATTAGCCATGGCTTCATAAACGTTTCAAATAGCAGCATTCCTGCCTTTTCATTATTGATTACTATTTTTTCTGGAAATATTCATTATTGATTATAGCGACGTCATGATCTCCTCAGAGGAAGTTGTCTAATTAATGCTCCCTAACTAAGACATGACAAGCAATAGGACTGCATCTACTTGGAAGGTTGTAAAAATAAGTCTGCTTACAGAAGGAGAAAAGTCCAATAGATCACTTTAGCTAATGCCATCATGGGTATCAGACAAACGTACTTTAAAAGAAAGTAGGGCTTGGAATATTCTGCTTGAAGGGGAACAACTATTAAACGGATGTGTCTTTCAGCAAAATATGGTGTTTTAGTTGGTGAGATAAGACCGACGGTAGTTCCTTCGCAGACGAATATGTGCGATCCTTTCGATGTTTTTTTTATTTTAAATAAGACACAAGACTAGAGTATTATTGTGCAATGAATTTAACCTTACTTTACAAAATACTAGTTAATGACTAGTTGCTCTATTTGTTAATTCTTGAAGGTTTTCAAACCTATGATCTTAAAAAAGAAGGGTATCGAACTGTGATCCCATGCACCAATAAGAAGACAAATCGCCAACGAGTACGATTTAGGACGATTTTAGATCTACAATGAGACATATTACAAGTGATATCGTATAATTAATTAATAGGAATAGCCCCTTGCTTTGTTGGAGACTCAAGGTGGCATTTGATATTGCTATAACACTGTGTTTTTGAATTTTTTAACTTTAAATTATTTTTTAATTTTTAGATATTATTTTAACATGTTGATATCAAAAATAAATTAAAAATAAATTATTTTAATTAATTTTTAAACAAAAACACACTTTAAAAACTAATATTTATTATACTTTCAAACATATATAAACTCAATTGGAGTCTTCTTTAGTTACACTTTTAATCATTTCATATGGTGGTTTGGGTGCGTGATACATTATATGTATATGGAAAGATGTTTTGTTGTCTTTCAAGTTATCATGGTTGATAAAAAATTAATATAAAATCATTTACGGTTCAAGTTTAAGGATGGATTTCTTTTATATGATGTAATAGTTTTAATAATTACTATATCATATTCTATTTAATTAAAATATTTACATAATTTATTTTATTAAGATTTAATAATTACTATATCATATTCTATTTAATTAAAATATTTACATAATTTATTTTATTAAGATGGTTTTTCTATATAATAAATACGATTTAAATACACCATTTGTATGCCTTATGTGCACACATCAAATACAACATTTATATGTCCAGTGTGCACATATCAAATGCATACCTATCGAATGATATCATGATCACACTTTATAATAATTATATAAATACAAATACATAATTCATGAATACTTTCAAAGATAAATTAATATCAATTACACTATTAACAAATTTGAAAATATATAAATGTATAGATTTAAATTCATAAAACTTATAAAACACCTTTATTGCAATTACTCACATTCACAAGATCAGTTCACACTTTATAGTATTCAACTGCTTTCCTTACAAAGAAGTTTGATGTTGATCCTTAAAACACCTACACATATTTAAACAAAACATCGTGTTAACTTTAAATTTAAATGAAAGCAAATAAAACTCAATATCTCTCCTAAAAAGAGTTTTAGGAGATTTTTCATTAGTAGTTTATATAAATTGTTATTAAAGAATGGATATGATTAATACTTGAAAGTGTATTTTTATCAAGGTTTTATATCATCATTTTGCGCTTGACGTATGAATAACTCCTTAACTAGAGTATGTTTAATAATAGCATGTCTAATAATATAAGATACTTTTAATTTAAGGCAAATATTCATCTTAAATGCAAGCTTATCACATAAATAAAAGGATTTATTGATGAATTTAACTACTGAAATTAAGAAGACAAACAGAGAGCTAAACTTAGAAAAAAGATACTAGTTCAGTCTGAATTAGAACACCATTCGATTATTAAATCATAACTTGAGCCATAAAATTTGGATTTAGATCTGGTTTATATGTATGGAAAGCTAAGAGATAAGGCTAAACCTTTTATGAGAGTCCAAGATTTAAAAGTGTCATTTTTTAGTTTAAATGGTAGCAACAACAGAAAAGTCAGAATCTATCATGCAGCTCAGATACTATTCAGTAATCAACCCATATCTCGAATTTTAGAAGTTCAAACACGCCAATTCTTGTTTATAAGACAACTTATTTTATCTAGCACATTTTACAAAAGTAATACACACAAAAACTACCCAGAATGGTCCTTCACCTTATATAGATAAATACTCACAAAATAGGCTTGACTTGTAAGTAATTTATATGAACTGCTTTTTTTTTCGCAATACTAACAGAAGCAAAAGCAATGAATTGCAGAGGATACAAAAGTTGATAAATACATAGACACATTTAATGAACATAAAAATAAACTAGATAAAGTGCTCAACAACTTCTTTATTTTTAATAAACTTATCTGATAACACTATCATTTCTTTTAACAAGTAACAAATAATTACATGATAGATTTTTAACAATGCAGTAGATAGATATAACCTAAAGTTTCAACATGAGTAAAACACTTTAAATCAAACCTATGTTCATTCACACCCATTCACACCCTAACAATTTCTGCCTCAACATATCTATTATTATAAGATATGATCCAATCTTTATTAGGTTTCTTTTTAAAGTGTAGTGTATGAAAAATTCCTTCTCTCTCTCTTTCTCCAAACATGACTAGATCTTCCAGAAATTGAAATTGTTGATTTTAATATTCCAAAGAGAGTATTTAGACCTATATTAATTAATTAGCCACTCAACAACAGATTCTAATAACCAACTTTAGAAAAATATGAGGGATCTTTTTAAGCAATGCATTTTTAAGAAAGGTTGTAGCCACTAGCCACTATGAAATATAAATATAGTGTTAATATTGTTAAAATTAAACTTGATTTTTAACTTTTCTAGATAATAGAGGAACCGATCCACTGGTTGGATTAAATAAATTGGTCGGCTAGTTGAGAAACGATTGACTGGTTTAGTTAGCAGAATATAATTTTTGTTAAGATTAGAATCTCCTAGTATTAGTTTAATTCCTTAATTGTCTAGGACTTAATGCCTATAAAAAGACTTGTAATTCAATATTATTAAGGAGCACAAAAAAAGAGAGAATAACTAAGAAAGCTTATAGAGAAACATTTAATAAAAGTATTCTTTCCTCTCAATCCTCTTCTTCTTCTTGAGTTTTTGACCTTGCATTAGTATTTTTGATTTTTTACCACACTCATCCTTTTTTTTAATAAGGGGTATCAAAGCTTAGCTTATAGAGCAAACAATTACATGTGTGGAGACAAGTGATCAATCCAAACTTTCCACTTCAATGTCTTAGGTTTGAATAGTCCCTCACTTTTTTACATAGTAGAATAATAGAAGGGTGGATGGGAGATTAAGAGACTAAAACCACTCTTGTTCATCTAATATAATTTCCAATTTCTCTTGTTCATGTTACTGAATTCCTTTTCCTTTCTCTTCTTATTTTGTTCTTTTATTGCATATGTATTTATTGGACATCTTAGAGCCCCTATGTGGAAGCACTGTAATTTGTTGGTTCTTAGTTTAATTATAAGTTCTAAGGCTAACAACTCCTTCTAGTGCATTGAGACATTCTTCAACAAGTAGCAACTGATGGAGCAAACAATTACATGTGTGGAGACAAGTTTATGGAGCTTGATGAAGCAATTAGAGGTCATGTCATATTTGCAGATCATTCAAAAGTTGTGATCAATTGAAAAACTATAATTTTGATTAAATTAAAATATAGAAGTCATCAATTTATTAGAGATGTCTATTACATATATTAACAGTGAAAAACAACATATTGAGCTTAGAACAATTGTTAGAGAAGGGGTATAAGATTAAGATGAAAGATTGTATTTTGACATTACTTGATATTAAATGAGCAATGATTGCAAAGGTAGTCATGACAAAGAATAAAATATTTTTGCTAAACATAGAGAATAGTATGTCTAAATACCTAAATGCATGTGTGAAATATGAGACTTCGCTTTGACATATAAGATCTAGGCATGTAAATTTTGATAGCTTAAAGATGATAAAAAAAAAAAGATGTTGAAGGGTTTACCATCTATTATACATCCAAATTAGTAATGTGAATGATATTTAATGGAAAAGTAATTTTGCAAGAGCTTTCCAAATGAGTTCACATCAAAAGCAAGTCAACCTCAACAAAAAATAGATGGTAATGTTTGTGGTCATATGAAACCATGTTTGTTTGGTAAAAATCTTGGGTATACTTCTTAAAAGAAAATTCTAATATGATTGGTTGTTTTAAGAAGTTTAAGGCATTAATTGAAAAAGAATTTGGTTATTATAAAATCACTTTGGATTGATAGGGGGTGAATTTTGTTTTAATGATTTTAATAATTTTTGTGAAGATCATAGTATAAAAAGACTCCTAACAATGCTTAAATTCTTAAAACAAAATGGTGTAATAGATAGAATGAATAGAAGCATACTAAAAAATAAGAAGATTTCTAAAGAGTTTTAGGCCAAAGCTATAAATTATGTTATCTACTTGTCAAATAGGTGTCCTGCTAAAGGATTAAATGACATGACTTCACAAGAATTATGGAGTGGAAGAAAGCCAAACGTTTTTCACTTGAAAGTTTTTAGGAGCAATGACTGTGCATTTAGATGATCAAGTAAGGATCAAACTAAATGATAACAACAAAAAAGATCTTTATAGGTTATAACCAAAAGTTCAAATGATATAAGCTCTATAACACCAATAAAGAAAAAATAGTGATTAACGGAGATGTTGAGTTCAATGAAGAAGAAGCAAAGGATTGGAAGGGAGATGATGGCGAGAAATATAATTTTCTATCGATTCTTGATAAAGAGAAGGAGTGCTATAAATATCATCAAGAACAAGCTACACCTTCATAATCACTAATGGTGTCATCTTTACATTTATTTTCTTCTTCTAGTAAAAGCTCAAGTAGTGGTACTTCACCAAATCCATTAAAAAAGATGAAGAGCCTTGTTGACTTATATGAGGTAACTAATTCTATTTATAAAAATGTAACACTATATTGTCATCTTACTATATATGATCCTATAATGTTTGAAGAAGCAATAAAGAATTCAAATTATAGAATTGCTACAGATGAGGAGATTGCATCATTTTAGAAGAATGACACATGAAAATTTGTTCCTAAACCAAGAAAAAAGAAGCCAATAGGTGTCAAGTGAATCTACAAATAAAAAAAGAATGTTAAAAAAGAAGTATAAAGGTGTAAGGCAAGGTTATTGTAAAAAGGATATAATCAAAAGCATGTGACTAACTATGATGAAGAATTTATCAAATAAATGTCAAATCAGCCTTTTTTAATAGTTTTATTGAAGAAGAGGTATACATTAAGCAACTAATAGGATATGAAGCAAATGAACATGAAAACAAAGTATTAAAGTTGAACAAAGCCTTATATGGATTGAAACAAGCCCCAAGGGCTTGTTATAGTCGCATTGATGACTATTTTTTAAAGAATGGATTTATTAAATACCCTCATGAATATGTTATTTATTTAAAGATAAAAAAGAAAGGTAATACTCTTATTGTATGTTTGTATGTGCATGGCTTGATCTTTAAAGGAAATAATTCAAAAATGTTTGAAGACTTTAAGCAACCAATGATATAAGAGTTTGAGATAACAGATACTGGTCTCATATCTCACTACTTAGGGATTTAGATCAAACAAGGAGAAGATAAAATCTTTATGAATCAATAGAAGTTTGCAAGCAAAAAAAGTTCTCAAGAAGTTCAAGATGAAGGATTGTGAAAGAATAAATATTCCAATTAATTATAGAGCAAAGATGTCAAAATAATGATGAAAGAGAAAAGATAAACCCTACAACTTTCAAGAACTTAATTAAGATTTTGAGATATTTAACATGCATTTATTTGATATTCATTTTGGAGGAGGACTTGTGAGTAGATTTATAGAAACATTAACTATGACACATTTCAGAACATTGAAGATAATTTTTCTGTATATCAAAGGAATTATTGATTTTGGCTTGTTCTATGGTTATTCTAATGATTTTAAACTTGCGGGTTATAGTGTTAGTGATTAGACTAGAGATATGGATAACAGAAAAAGCACTAAGAGTTTTTTGTTTTTTACATAGGAGACACAATATTTACATAGAGTTCAAAGAAGTAATCCATAGTCACTTTGTCAACAAGTGAAACTGAATATATAATCAATTACATCACATGTTTGTTATTCCATATGGGTTACAAAGAATATTAAAAGAATTGCAAATGCTACAAGAAAAGCCTATAAAGATTTATATGAATAACTTATTAGCCATTGTCTTAATTAAAAATCTAGTTTTTCATGACAAAAATAAAGCACATTAACATAAGATTTAATTACATGAGAGATTGCATTATAAATAAAGAAATTGAAATCAAGTATATGAAAACACATGATCAAGTTGTGAATATCTTTAAAAAACCACTCACATATGTTATTTTGATCAAAATAAGAAATATGTTGGGACTATCAAGAAATTAAGTTTAAGAGAGAGTGTTAAAAATTAAACTTGATTTTTTATTTTATTTAAAGGACAGATGAATTAGTCCTCTAGTTAAATTAAATAAATTAGTCGGTTAATTCAATTAGTAAAATATAATTCTTGTTCAAATTAAAATTTTTATATATTAATTTAATTTCTTGATTATTTGGGTTTTAATGACTATAAAAAACTTGTAATTCAATATTATTAAACATAAAAAAAAGAAGTTAAAAGAGCTTAGGAAAAAATACATAATAAAAATATATTTTCCTTTTAATTTTTTTCTCGTTCTTAAATTTTAAAAAATTAAAAAATATATTATTTTAATAAATTTTCAAATAAAATATATTTCAAACAACCTTTAAGGCTGATAAGAAACCGCCCCTGGCATCCACAAATGCGTCCAAAATTCTACTAAATACTAAATCATTTCACTCATGAAAATATTAAGTCATTTCTGTACGGATAAAGCTGTGATTTATAATCACTAAAACTTCCAATAAGCATAAATAATTAGAGTAATAAAAACAAGTTGACCAATAAGATGGAATATTCTTGGCATTCATTAGCGCTTAACCTCCCCCGCAAAACGATAAATCCGCATTATGTCACTTCGAGCCTCCCAATTTAAGGATAAAGACTGCGCTGTCGGGAATAGTTTTTCAAAATCAGTTTTTATTTAATTATAAAAAGAATTAAAATGTATATTTGTAAGAAAAAAGATTATTAAAATCTTAGAAATTTTTTTTAGTTAGAACCATAGGTTTAGGGTTTAGTTCTCAATCATTTTTTTTTTTATGATAACATGTTTTTTTATTTAAAGTATATTTTATTAAAAATAATTAAAAATAATTAAAAAAATATAAACATTCCAATTACTTGAATTGAATAAAAAAAATATTTTTTTATGTGTTTTTAATGAAAAAATATCTTTTTTAAGAAGCAATTTAAATAAAAAAAATTATTATGATCATAAAAGGAAGTTTCAATAAAAGATAAAATAAATTATGAATTTTTCATTTTTATACACCTATATAAATAAATTTAATGAAATTAGCTTTAATAAAAATATGTAATAATTTATAATAAAAAATAGATATTCTATTTTTATTAATTATTGATGAGTAAATCATTTAAAATTTCTGCATATTAAGTTAATGAATAATTATTTATAAAATAATTTTTAATATTATCACAAAAAATTCTAATTGTCTTGAAGACTATGAATTATTTTGATAATTTTTTTAAAATCATTTTAGTTAATTATTTAAAGAAATCTTACTCTATAATTTAAAAAGAAAAAAAAAGGATTACTAAAAAAAAGTTTCAGTTAATTCTCTTGAAGACTATGAGTATTTTTTTAAAATCCCCCGTTCTCTTTTAGTTTTTTCTCCTTTCCTTTATTTTATCCTCCCTCCTCTATCCCTTCCTTCTCACTCCTGCCCCTATGTCGTTAGTTTGCAGTTTACGGTGGGTCGTATTACTAGGTTCTTGAAGGCAGGCAAGTATGTTGAGCGTGTTGGTCCCGGCGCTCCTGTCTACCTCGCTGCAGTTCTTGAATATATTGCAGCTGAGGTAATTCTGTCTCTATTTCTCTCTTTATTATTATTATTATTATTATTTTGAAAGTGTCTTGGATATGATTTTGTGTGATTTCAATTCTTGAATCCTAGGGTTCTTTAATTATGGTGATTTTGACTCTTGTTTTTGGGAATTAAGTTGTTTTCCATGAAAATTATGTTTTTGAAGTGGTGGCGGTGGCTAATCTTGTGATTTTGTTTAGTGGCTAATCTAGGGTTTTTTAGCTTCAATTTTTCTTCAGTTTTTAGGGTTTGAGTCTTTTTGTTCATGTTAGAGTAGTTTTAGCAGTTAGGGTTCTAAGGTTAGTGATGTGAATATAAATCGATCATCATCTAGAGGCTTATGTGGTGGTGATGACAATTAATAAAGGATTTGAATCCAATCCTTGTGCATCTTTTTCACTTGATTGCTTAATCGACTTATTGTTAGGTTGGGTTGTGTGGCGGTTGAGGAGAAAGGAGAAGGAAAAAGAAAATTAGAGAAAAGGAGGGTTTTGTTAAAATCAATATAAACTTGATAGAAGGACTCAATTTCAAATAGCTAAAAGTATAATGAAGGTGAGACTCGAAATGAAAATAAAATAGAATGCCTTTCGACTTTTCTTTGTTACTCTTTTTTTCGAGTTTTATTATTTGAAGTATAAATAAAATTATTTTTGATCCAACGTTTAAGAAAATTTGATTTCTTCTTTATGTTCTTGAGTTTAAGCCTTAAATTCAATGTTTAAAGCTGAGTGTATATCATATACAACGATCAATAAAAACAAATTCTGGACGTCATCCAGATTATACAATTTATAACCCAAGAGACTGCTAAACAGAAAGTGGTGATGTAAACATTTGATGCTGTCAAACTTTGCAACAGGATTGGCATGAAAGCTCCATGAAATCCATGTGGGACTTAGCATGGCAACGTGATTTTGGCAACTGGCTCACTGGTAAACTTTTTGGTGTCAATTATATAAGCCTATGAACGTAGACAAATACTTTAGATATGAGAGTCATATAATTATTATGTACCAAAGTGCAAAATTGACCTTCTTTATACATGCTTGTATCTTCATTGTGGACAAAAGTGATTATCCATCCATCATCTTCTACATGACTGCCTTGTTTGGGAACTAAGGCAGCTCCAGTGCAGAAAGTATTCTGTTGGGATTTATGGTATTCCACCTTTATCAGCTCTTCAGATTGGCCACCTTGCTGATTCACAGAACCAAAACAGTGTCAGCATAAATTTAGATGTGTTAGGAAAGAAGGTTAATAACACAGCTTAATTAACTACCGAATTGATTTTATTTGTTTCTGGCTCTTCAAAATACAGTTTTGCTAGATCTCCATATTTAGGCACACCTGAAATGTTAAGTAAATTAATGATCAGGGTTATAGTAAACTTCTATAGAAAGAAGAGTTTTAGTTATAATCACCGGAGTCAGAGCTAGCATTTGAATCAGTAGCTTGGGTATAGCCATATTTATTTTTTAACACCAGTAAAATCTCATTGGATCATTGGAAAATCCGTAGAGAATTCAGTTCCTGTCAGGAATCTTTCCTCTTACGTAAGAAATCTATGAGTTTACCTCATCAGTGCCTTCCTCAAAACAATTAAGAAGGTGAAATGCGCAATTTGATTCCACCTGAAACCACTTGATTGAGTCTGCGTTGCCATAGCGAGGCATGATTCCAATTCTTGCATATTCTGCCATGTATATTTTATCAACCTGCATTTGTTCACGTCATGGTCCATGACAGACATAATTACCAGCTCATTGTTCAAGTCATGTAAAATACACAAAGTACAGCAAGATATTTGAGTACTCACGGGCCACCCTTAAGGAGTCCGTGCATGTCTAGAATGAGTGGAAAATCCATCACCACATTGTGCCCGGAAACACAATTCATCTTGATCGTTACAGCTTTCAATTTGAATTATAATGCCCATGCAGTGTTTTAGACCAATATTGAATAGATTTACCTCCGCGTAGCTCCCATGTCATGAGAAAGGGAACACCTGTTGAATTTGAGATCAACTTTATGAACTAATCTTTTTCCATCGGCTGAAAAGTTAACTAGTTTGAAGTACAAGGCAAGGAAAGTTGCTATGCTTTATAAAACATCTCATTGTGCAAAATATATTTACAGTACTGTTCTAATTGAAATGATTCACATACCATACCTGAAACTACTCCTAGTTCCAAGAAAGGTTTTGTGGCATCCACCCCGATTATAACCAGCTCCCTTGTATCTGGGGCTCTCTCAACATGGAAGAAAATGGCTGATTTATGAAAAGAAAAGTGGTATAATGATCATAGTTATAATACCATATCTGATTTGGTATTGCGGGTTGGGCTAGTTAACCCGGTTAGCTGCGGGTTGGGTTTAAAAAAAAAATGCTGATTTGCTGAGGCATGTGATTTTCATCAATCCCAGAATGTTCAAAAACGTTGTTGCTAATGTACTCGTTAACTTCGCCAAATCGCAGCTGCATACCGAGTTAACGAACTAAGATATCAGCTAATAATTAGTCATAACAACAAGGCCTCCAAGCATTCATTCTAGTCTTATTTTAATTTGCACCAAATTAAAATATTTAGAGTAAAATATTTAGATAGACATGCCCACCAAATTCAGCAAGTATGCTGGTAATATTGGTTGGGAACTGCCTTCCATTGCAGCAAGAAAAGATGGTTTGTTTCTTCGTTTTTCTATCTTGAATGTTTCGGTTTCAATGTATTTTTGTTGTTGTCCAGCTTCCATCACTAGCTTTATATTTACTTGCAACTGTCTTTATAGTTAGGTAACCCACGCTACTCTGAGGATAATTTTTTTTTATATAAAAAAATTAAAAAAATCTAAAATCTTAAAACACTAGGTCTACTTTTTAAAGGGATATCTAAGAGCTTCGGGCTGGTGTTGTAGTCAGACTTAAAATTGTTGGGCACGGAGTTGCAGCCAAACTCAATGTTCTTGGGTCTGGCACTATAAAGCAAATCCAAACCTGGGTTCGAACACTTGTTTCTAGTGTCTTGAACTAGGTGGGGCTGCAAGATCCAAGGAATTCTGTGCTCTTGCCACTTCTAAGTAATTTAAGTGAAGTGTTATTTTCTAATTCTAAGTTTCTTGAATTTGAAAGGGGATGTCAGATCTAAGTTAATAATAATAATAATTGATTTTATTCTTCAAATCAAATATATATATATATATATATATATATATATTTTTATAA